GAGCATTCTTATGCTTGTATTGAGAAATTTCTTACACAACCCTAACAGAATACTGCTAGTTCTGAGATATTCCTGGTAATGTTTTTTACCCATTGAAGTGTATTTTTCATAACAAGAAGACTTAGCAGAAGGAATTAGAGTATTGGGTTCTCCCCTATGTATTTGATAGAGCTTTGTATGGATCTGGTTGTGTTCCTTGACATGTGCACGCTCAGAGCAGTGCAGAGAGGGCTGGCGCTGGCTGGGGGAGGATGTCTGTACTGTGACCAAGGTGGGAGACAAGGTGAGAAGCTTCAAGGACCTTCTCTTCATGGGTGAGGTGTACAGCAACCGATCTGGGGGCTGGAAGAATGTGGTGAAATTTTGAGTCTGCTTGGTGGCCTGAAATGCCCGTAGACCATGGAGCCTGGTTGTAGATCTTGTAGCCTGCATTACACCAGGGAGCAGAGCAGGATCCAGAGTCTCAAAGCCAGCTGCAAGCCACCCCTCCTGGACGCAGCCCGTTCAGCTCCAACTTCACATTGATGGTTTCAGTGTGTGGCTGAGGAACAGCGAGCTCTGCTCCCAAGAGATGGAGCCTGCCCTTTTTGGGCAGCACTGGTTTGCAGAAGTGCATGGCTCCTGCACAGCTCGACCATTTTATCAAAGCTAGTTTGTAGACTATTCTGTTTGCTGTCCCTTGATACTGACATCCCTGTTCTTGACCTTTCCAGCAAACTGTCCCACCAGCCTGTGCTGCTGTTCCTAAGGGATCCATATGTCTTGCCTAAAGCCAACGGTAATCAAACCTGTCATCTGTTAACAGCGCTTTACTGATCTGACCCTGCACCGCATAAACCACATTATTATTAATACCAGCCTAATCAAATGACACTGGTCCAAAATCTAATAACCTGCCAATAAAACAATAGTTCTTGTGTAAGAAACCATTAAAACACTAAGTGGGGTGCATGATTTATAAAAGGGTGGAATTTTCTCCCCCAGTTCTTTTCTCAGATAAACCTACTGAGAATTCAGATCGAAAGATGAAGAACACTGCTTTTCTTTTCGGGGGGGGGGGGGGGGCAGAATTGCATACTGTTTTGAAGAAAAATTAAGAAAAAAATCTAAAATGCTGCAAATAAAATGATACCTCGGAAGCTAAAAAATGGGATCTCAGATTTACTATCACTTCTTTGAAAATTGTTCTGATGATTCTTTAAGCCATGTAAGTATCATAGATCTGTAAGACTGTGCTTCAGTTTATTTATACATTTAACTTAAATAATATGCTTGATTTTTTTTAAGCAGCAAAGCTTAAAACAGTAAATCTGATGCTGTAAAGTTGTATCATTTTTTTAATCAATACTCATTTCCTATATATACATTGTACGTTGTAGAAGAACCAGTAAAAACTGGGTTCTGGAACTGCAGTATTTATTTTAGAAGGAAAGCATCAGATTGCCCATACAAGTTTATTTTTAATAACATTAATGACAACAGCATACAGTTATTCTACCAGAATGATTTGGGATAGCTGAGCTTGCAGGATTTGAGGATTACTGGATTCAAAATATTAACAAGTAATTTATAATGATGACTAACTATGAAAATGTGAAGGGAATTATGCATTTATGCATTTAATTATTGTTTATGGCAGAGGTTACAGTTCGTTAAACCATCCCAAAATATCTCTGTTTGTAACATCTTTAAACTAATACGGATTATTTTTTTTCTTACCGAGTCCAAATCTGCTTTTTGCTCAGTACCTCCACCTTCAAAATGATTTCAGCAGAAGAATTAGGGGCAAAACCTAACTCCTACCCACATGAGATGATTTATCAATTATCTAATGATTTTTAGAAGTTGCACCTCCCCTTTCTGAACATCCTGTAGGCTGATAGGCAAAGGAAGGATTTGATTAGTGTGGAAAGTTCTGTATCAGAAATAGTCTGTTCTTCCAGGCAAATACATCTCCTAGTGTACTAGTAATTTTGAGATATGATCAGAAATTCTTACTCTTAATGCCCAGTGATTTTATATAAACCGTTCCTTAAAAACACAGGAGTTGGTACATTTGAAAAATAGTTTCACTTCAGTAATGTACATCCTGCCACTTCTCTGCATGGATCTATTACTGTGTTCTATAATGTAATTCTTTCATCCTAAATTTAACATGAAAATTTTAGTGCCAGTTTCCTCTACATCTGTGGCAAGAACACAGTGGTGTCTTTTCCTTCAGATATTACACGATGACTTTTTGTGACGCGTGACATTTTACGTTGATTAGACAGCCTGAAATTTTCCTGCCTCAAATAATCATCGCTGATTGTACAGGCATCCTCAAGTCTTCTCAGTCTAAACATGGTTGTAAACTACAATGGAAAAACAGCTTTGAAGTATTCCCAGTAGCAATCTCGGAATTTCTTCAAGTATATTGAGATTTTGTTAGAAATTGAATTGCCAGTGTAATCCATCTTCCTTGTGAGAAAAGATTCAGATAAAGAGCCAGAGCCTAGCAACATTAAGTATTAGAACATCCCTTTAAATCAATAAGCTACAAATCTGGCAGCACATTCATGCAATGCCCAGTGCTACACTAAAGTGGCTTTAGTGCTGAAACAGCATTACTAATAGCACATCCCCTACACGGATAAACAGTTGAGTGGTGCAGTAACCTAAATTATATGAGGCCTTACCTAGTGAAGTTTCACGAAAACATTTATATTGTACTGACATAGATAAGAAAGCAAGTTTTTTTTCTTTTTTTTCAGATGACTTTCCAAACGTAGTAATAGAAGGCATTCTACATGGAATATTTTATCCTCATTTACTGCCTAGGTAGAAGTGATGCGTGGCTACAAGAAGCTGAAGCAAGTCTCCAAGTCATGTTTAATGGAATTAACAGAAATGAAATTCTGTTATGTGAAAATTAAGCTCAGAAGCAAGAGACACAACCTCAGTTTAAGTTCAAGCATTATGTCTTTTTAAACAAAATCAATGTCACTACATTTGCTGTTTTTAAAAAAAAGATGATATGGAAACAACAGTATTGAAGTTATTTATGCCTTCTATATATTGACATGCTCTAACTATTTAACACTAAAAGCTGAATGTCATACACTGAATTACACTAACCTTTGAAAAGAGCTGAAAGCTTTACTAATTATTTCTACAATTTCTATCATAAATTACACTAAACCTTTTTGCACCAGGATTTTTCCCAGCACATAACCCATTGCTGGCAGTGGATGGATTAAAAGTGCTGAAAAAAAAAAAAAAAAAAAAAAAAAGCAGACATTGAGAACAACTTAAAAGTATTTTATTCATTTTTGATAAATTATTTTGAATCTGCTCCTTAATATCAGGTTGGAAAAGAGACAATGTAGGCATATGGAGTTTCTATTGGAAAACATGCTTCCACATTCTGAAATACATCGCTCGCTCTCAGGAAATTTTAAATTTTCTAGATTTCAGTTGAAAAGATTTTATCTATCAGGAGATTTTACATGGCATTTATGCATCTAACTTCAGTTATGATATCTAATCTTGTGTGTATGGTTACTCTTCACATCAACTTGCAGATTGTATTCTGTATCAATGTAAATCACAGAGCATACAACTCTGTGGCAAGGTAAAGCAAGAATATGATTAAGCAGTAAAATAATAAAACTGATACATATATATACATACTTATTCAGATTTAACTGGCAATTTGTGTGCACTACTGGACATTACAAAATAAATTACTAGAACATGAATATACTGCTTTAGTGTATTTTTTGTGCATTTCTATTCAAACAAGACATTTCTCTGAACTTGTGTTATCAGAGATGGGTCTCGCAGGTATGTCTACATGAAGTGTGAGAAAATACCTGGCTGTCTGCTTATTTAAAACTCTCAGCACCACACTAGCTGATCATGCTAGGCTTACGAGAGTGTAAGTCTTGGGGGGAAAAAATTCAGTGTGATTGAACAGCCGGTAAGTTATTAGGCTCATCAGAGGAAAGGAACGTTGCACAAAAGCATTAACGGCAAAGCTAGATACAAACACCAATCTGATCCTGGAGACACATGGGTTGCCTCCTGCTAACTACTAAAGCTGCTTGGGGATAGTGAAAAGCTGGGACTTGTACAAAAGGTAGGCCTGGGACTACAGCACTTTTTGAGGTAGCAGAACTCTCTACACTGTCTGTGGGATCAACCTTTAGGAAAGCTTTCAGCTACTAGCAGAAAACTATTTGGGCGAGGGAGTCTGAGGCATTCTCACTCCTACTTCCTAACACTGCTTCCCAGTACTGCTTTTCAGAGAATTTTACTTCAAACAATTAGTAAAAAGAAAAATGAATGGGGTAAAAGGGAAGCCTGATTGCCTAGTACAAGGCAAATTTAGAGGCCCTCAGTAAGTTCTTCTCTAGCTCTTAAAGAGGACAGTAATACTTTCACAGGTCTCTGAAAAAAGTGTCAGTATTTAACCTCCCCCAGGGCTATGGACAGTGAACCAGCAGACTGACCCCCTGTAACTACAAATGATGTGTCAGGAGGACCCGAGATAAATCGCAGCCCACAGCATTTTCCTGTTTCCTTGTGAGGGAGGTGCCAGTAGGTACCTAAAAGCTCTATGCTATAGTACTCACTCTTCCACTGCACCACTCGAAGTCTGGATAACTCATGTGGGCTCCAGGACACCTTCAGGGAACTAGTGACTACAAAGGTAATTGGTGTCCTGCCTGGTGTGCAGGTAGATGAATCTTTCATCAGATCTTGGCATCAGCTCTTCGATCTGGAGTTCTGAAACACTGGAAACAAGAAAAAAATCCACATCTCTTTCCCTGTGGAGTACTATGTAACTCATTAAAGAACCTAACAAACATGGCTGTCTCTAAGTGGTACCTTATGCTGACCTTGTTTAAAAGTTCCAGTTAAATTGTCAGCTTAAGAGTTATTTAAGAAGCATTACAAAAGATAATGAACCTAAAGTTGCATCTCTGACATACAGCAAAACTTCAGGAAAAAGTCTTTGAGCTTCATCATAAATAACACTAGCTAGGTGTTATAAAATTCACTGTACTGTAACACAAGGACTCTTCTATTTTAATCAGTTTCTAACCGACGATCTTATTTAATGATAGACAGAGCTGCTCCTCGATTACTGTATTCTGTGGTGTTTCGAAAGACAGCAGGGACTTTGTCTGACACCTTAAGATTAGAAAAATTTACCATCCCTGCTCTAACCTTACAACCTCATTTCCTGGAAAGCAGCACCTCCTGCATATTTTGCAGAATCAACCGAGGTGAGAAAAAAGGCCTTGCAGGGGTGGAAGGGATAAAAAAAGCTCTTCATTAAGAATTTATTTGAAATCAAAGTTTATTTATTCAAAACACTTCCATATTTTACTTTTTTTTCATTTTTAAAAATGCTGATACTGTTACAGAAAATAGTATTTTCAGTTAAAAAGACAGAAATTTTGCAAAAATTTCCAAAGAGAACAAAATGACTGTATTTCAAACATTGAAAAAATAAAAGTACTTCTAAAATGTTTCAGGAAAGATTTTTTTCTGCAAGATCTAGGATTTAGTGGGGTAAGTCTTGAACTTCAGGGAGTGACAGCTCCATCCAGTTGTTACAGAAATGGTCATATATTATATTTTATGTTTTTGGCAAATGATAACTATTGTCTAAATATAGCCTCATATGTTTTGAGGTGAAAACTCAATTAATAGTTGAGATTGGTCAAAAACAGGCCTTAAAGTGATAAACTTTTACTTTCCATTCTGAATTTTGGTCTCACCAGTCACCTACTTCAACTACAAATGGTTCTTTTACAGCTATTTTGCCACTGTTCAAAATCACACAGTCTTGAAGGGGCCGGTCATGTTCATCTGTCTGCTGGAGTTCTATCGAATGCACCACAGACTGTTAAAAAAAAAAAAAAGTAAAAAAAAAGAGTTTGGTTTAGTCAAGGTAACTTCAGTGTCTCAGCTGTGGTACCAGATAAACAACTAAGTGCTCCTAGCATTACTAATTGTTAGGCAACTTCTGAACAAATGTCTACTGAGTTCTCACATACTTTTTTTTTAATCACATTGACACTTATGCCACTCTGCAATCCACATACAGTTGACAGAAGCACATGGAAGGATGTTTGCCCTTCTATAAAGACTTTCAGCCAACAAAAATTTTATGAAGGGACAACTGCAAATATCCTTTCAGCTGATTGACCTAGCATATACAAGGTCTCTCTGAAGCCTATGAGCACAAAGTCAGTCCAGAGGTCATAAAGGATAAGCAGTAATTCCTTTAATCGTACAGTATAACTGTGCTTCAAGAAATATGATGAGTGCTTTTGCTTTTAGTGTAACACAGACACATATTTTAAATGTGGTACCATGCCCTCCAGTCAGACAAGTACAGGTAAACTACTGGCCTCATGCTAGACAACTAATTAAAGTAATATTCTTAAAGGAGAAAATTCAGTTAGGAATAATGACTACCTGGCTTTGGATATTTGTACATTAACTTAACTAAACTAAAACTTAGTTAAGTCTCTCTTCAAAAATTTTCATTTCAAAAATTCAGAATTGAATTCCCTGTGAATGTGGGAGAAGAGGGCAAGTGGTTTGATGAGGTTTTCAAACTCCTTCAAGAACTGGTAAGTGCAGCAGTTCATGTCCCCCATTCATTTCAAAACACAGATTAAATGGAATGATTAAAAAGGAAAGACAGACTACTAAAAGTATAATCAGTTGGAAGTTCAGTTTTGCAGCTGTGCACAGTTTGAGGAATTAACTAGATTTCTGTATTTCTAAACAGATCTGAATATATATTTGTATACTCTACATTCACATGCTTCTAAAAATCCTAACAGTGCAAGTGTTATCCATAACTAGAACATGCTACAAAATTATATTTTAGCTCGTAGAAATACAAATATTTCATGGCTAACAGCAGCAGTCAGAGGGGGACCTGAACTTAGTCCATTTCTAATCTGCAAAGGTGTCAGTGTTGATTTCAGTGGTTAGTGGTCTGAAACAAGAGCTGTGAAAGCCAAAGGCATGATTTAAATTTCCATTCCTGCAGTCACCATTTGCTACTTCAGTTCTAAATCATCCAGCTCCAGGCTCTTCACAATCACTTTCTACCACATACATATTAGATAAACAATTGTTCTGAAACACCACAGTGTAAGTTACATAGATAGGAAGTGGCAGAATTTGAACATATTTTCTTGGATTAATCTTGCCATTACTTTTTGCTTACCATTCCATCAAGGACTTTGCCAAAGACTACATGTTTTCCATCTAACCAGGAAGGCTTTGTTACACTAATGAAGAACTGGGATCCATTGGTGTCTGGGCCAGAATTAGCCATGCTAACCCACCCAATTCCATAGTGCTTGAGCTTGAAGTTCTCATCTGGAAACCTTTCTCCATAGATGCTTCTTCCTATGAAACAAAATAAGAAAGCAAACTTTTTAAAAAAGTTTAAAAAACCCCACCTTTTTGTTCAAAAATGGAAAAAAAATGTATGAATTCAGGACTTGAAGATTGAGTAAGCATAGCAACATCACTGTTCTATCACCAGTGATTCCATAACTAAAAGCATTTTGTGTGTGAAGAAAGAGATAAGCTAAAACACCACATAGAAGGAAAGAATATTTAAAACTGATGATGTTTTATCCTTTGAATTTAACAAGTGATTACCTCCTGCTTACATGCACCACTGAACAACAGTATACTTCATCCTATTCAACAAATTTAAATTATGTAATTATGACCACCAGAAATAAGGTTGCCACGTTTTGTGACAATTTTAGCCTTTACTTTTAAAACTTCCTCCTAGTAAGATGTTGGTTTAGACATGTTGAGAAAAATATGAAAACCAAATGGAAGTTAGCCTAAAAGACTCGGTGCAAATTTGTACAATCCTTGCATAAGGATTCTGATGCTTCTAAAATATTTCAGAAGATAAAATATTTGAGTTATGTTTAAACCACCATCACTTTGAGAAGAGGAGGCTGTCTGTCTCATTTGTAAAGTGCCTAGCACAATGAGGACACTGCTCCCAACACCACCAGAGACTATCCCAATAAACAGTATTAACAGGCAAACAAACACTGCCTACCTTTAATGCTAAAACTGTGTGTTTGGTATTTTAGCCTTCCCCACTGTTCCCTGCAAGTAAAAGGAATGTGTATTTTCTATTCTGTCCCAGTGGGGAAATCACTGACATCGTACGCGGACAGTTCAAATTGTAGTACATGAAGAATATGCATGTAAAGGAAGAGAAGAAATCAGAAACTAGAATGCAAGAGATACTGCTCTGGGACTGCCCTCCTTAGTCAAATGAGCTGGTCTTCTGGAGGCTGAGGAGTGAGAAGTAATATACACAGCCACAACTCAGATCACCAGTAAGTTTATGGTTTTAAATTTCGTAAAAGGGGGAGAGGGTATTACCTTAATTTTCTAATTTCTCTACCCCTGTTTTGAAATTCCCTCCCATAGCACATTTCAGAAGGATCCACAGAACTGGCTGAGCTGAGGGCAGACAGGACAGCCTACTTGTTCCCTACCTGCCTTCCCTCTACATGCTTTCCCTACTTTGTTTTCTGCTGGATGACTTGAATTGGTTCATGTACACATGCAATCAATGAGTGGCTCAGGTAAGGAGTGCTGTCACAAAGCCAGAGCAGGGGAAGGGCAGGGACATCTATCTTTTGAAGTCAGTCTGTTGTAGGAGCAGTTCAGCTGGTCACGTGGCTCCAGCCCACCACACAAAGCCATTCCTCTTTAATGGGGACAAGTCACAGACAGAAAAGAGCTATCTGCAAAAACTGAGGACAAAGGAAGCTCTAGACATACTTATAATTAAGTAATCCAAATAACTGCATCTTACGTTCTAGAATGCTTGGAAAAGTACTAGATGCTCTGAAACAAATGTGGGGTTTTTTTCATTTATGTGAGCTGGAAGAATGAGGGAATATGCTGTTTTGTCCATCTTTCCAGCAGACATCTGAAGAAAGGAAAAGGAACCTGGAAAATACTAAGCATGTTACCTCCTGATCCATCTCCAGCTGTAAAGTCTCCTCCTTGAATCATGAAGTCTTTGATCACACGATGAAATTTACTTCCTTTGTATCCATATCCTCTCTAAGAAAATGAAATATTTAAATGAATATAACATCCAGTTCTACAGAGACATATGGAAATACACATAAGGTGAATGGCCAGATTTCACAGAATATATCACCACTGGAGACAAGCATGTGCAAGAAACAAATAAACTGACATGAAGGTGAATACAGCTGGTCAGCACTGCCACAAAGCAGGTATTATAGAGGTGATCAAAGCCATTATCTTTTTTTGATGGCTATCTGACCACAGTACCTCTACATGCTAGGTCTGCATGGCAGGGACAGGTTGAGGTGGTGATATCCAACATCTCATAATTACATCCTGCAAACAAAGCCCCAAGGACCTGAGAAGACACACACCAGTGCAGAGCCTTGGGGATGGCATTCTTGCACAGGCTCCACTGAATTAAAATTGACAGTTCCCAACTGAAACACCATTAAACAAATATTTATTTCCCAATCCAAATTTGAGTACACACTGGAAGAAAACTGCAAACTTACTTCTCCAGTTGCCAATGCAATGAAGTTCTTCACAGTCTTTGGGACAACTTTTCCAAACAATCCAATTACAATTCTGCCAACATCTTTGTCTCCAATCTTTACATCAAAGAACACCTGAACATTTTTGAGAAGAGAACAAAAGTGATACAAACATAAGCACAACAAACAGTCCAAGCTTTTGAAATCTTAAGGAGGTAAGAAATTGTTTCTGGCTGATCTGTAGTAATAGTATCCTTCAATTCCTGAAGGTGCTGTTAAAGAAAAATCCTTTCAGAGCTACCAGAATCAAATTATGCAGGAAAGTTTAGAGAACTGGTGACTATACATTTTGATTCTTACTGCTTTTAAGGGCTCAGTGACACTGCTGTATCCCAAGTTTGAAGGTAGCATTCAAGATTTTCCACAGACAGGCATGTCTTTTAAGCTGTACAGAAAAGATGAAATATGAAAGTAAGGAAGAACAGTGATGCCATTCCAGTATTGCAAACAATAACAAGGAACTATAGTACAGACACTCCCCACAAATGATAGTTCACTATCCACTCATAATCTTCAGAGTTCTAGGCATTACTATGTATGGATTAAGTATAGATAAAAGCCTAAATTTCATTAAACAGACAGGAAGAAAATCGTACAGATGAAACAAGGAGTCGCTTTCCTAAATGTGAATTCAAACCTGATAAAGAAATAATAAGGCTGTATTATTCTGCCTAAAAGCTTCAACGTAGATGTTGCTAAAAAGCAATTTCAAAAAGGTGAATGAGTAATAAAGCGTTTTAATACAGTTCAGAATATAAGAATGCATATTTGGATGTATAAAAATGTTCCAACAATTACTGAAAATAGGAACAGCTGTCAGGAAATGAGGCATTTAGAAGTTCTGAAAAAGTTACATAAAGACTATTACAGCTTCTAGGAAACAGCAATGTGTATTCCTATGATGTGGTATTTGCTGTTCCTTGTGGCACTCAACCAAAATATTACTTGTCTGTAACGCTAAGAAATTAGTCCAATGATGATAATAAATGACCACAGTCTCTCCAATGTGAATGCCTCTTTCACGCTCCCCTTCTATATTTTTCTACCATTTCTTGATCTTCCATGTGGAACTGCTGAACTTCTGGCTAACACTATAAAAGCTCTATAAAGAAAATAAAATTCCTTTTGATACACCTCATTCATTTCCTTGGCACTTGGCACTAAATTATGTACTTCTTAGATGTGTGGCTCAAAGTATTAACAATACACTTTCACTAACTTTTTAACATTTTTATAAACACATCTCTCTGAATTTTGCTGCCCAGGTTATCTAGGTAAAGAGTACTGGCTACATTTTTTAAACCACCTTATTTCGCCTGGAAATGCTGTCTTAGTAGGACTGCCTGAAATACATAAGCATATATAAGTAACACAACCAAGGCTACCAAACACTGACCCCAGGTAGTGGTAACGTTAAGCACTTTCACAGAGCATATGGAGAAAAGTCCATCATATATTGTAAACCTAAGCCAACCAGAAGGCTTAATTTGTGGCAGAGCTGCTCACCTAAGCAGCAAACCCAGTAATTCCAAAACCTGTTATTTCAGCTTATTACATTTGTGAACAACCCGTTAAGTTCCCGGCTTCCTGTAAGCACTTCACATTACCTGTGCTACATTCTTGGTGATTTTTGTAAAGCTCTGTGCTTCCTAATTATGCTGCACATAACATGTCTGCATATTTCTGGCCAGGAAATCAACTACGGAAATATCTGATAGCCCTAGATCCCATTTTTGCATAGAGAAGCCATGTTCTCTTAAGCATATTTCCTCAAGTTTCCTCAATTTTCAGTCTTATTAGTATTTATATAAACATGTAATCTTATTTACAATTTGCAGTAAGTATTTCAAGACTGAAATCAAAAACAGTGCTCCAGTAAGACTGGCTGGTTCTCATGAACATATTGATATATAATTTGCACAAGATGGTGTATATCAAAATGAAAAAGCAGCCAAGAGTATTCAGTTATGGGGGGGGGGGGGGGGGGG